GTTGGATTCCTATCCCCAAGAATTTAACTCCAGTATCTCCACTAGAAACCAAAAAGCATCTGCGATTGCAATTGTCTCAAATCTTTGCCGGGGAAACAGAAACACAGGTTTGTGATTCTGCTACCACCAGTCCTCCTCCCACCTCCCTGGGATATATTGCATCCCGCTATACCCAGAGCACGCACCAGGAAGGCATGGTCTTAAGAACACCCTGAAATCGTTCATCACTGATCTGAGCACTGAAACGGAATTGCCGTCTGGTTTGCAGCTTCCCTGTGGCGAATAACAGTTTGCTGCCAAAAAAATCTCTCTCTCATTCAGGGTGAGAAAGCCTTGGCCTTGACCCTGTCAAGGCTTAACTAACAAGTTTCATTCTGTGTTGCAAGATACTGAACTGGAAGTGCTTAGGAGTAGGAAACAGCAATGATAAAAATTAAGTTTAACGTGCTTACATTCCTAGTTCTTACAGGGCTTCCATCTTTCTCAGATTCGTCTTAGCACCACCTGTAGTTAGGACCTCCAGGCCAGCAAACATGCACCAAAGGAACCTCAGCGTCTTGTCCATTCTTGGACAAATCCTCTAGAGGCTCACGCGTATCCATCTACCACAAGCTGCCCACCAACAGACTCACTGAATTCCACATCTCTGCCGGGCCACTCTAAAGATACCCCGTTTGGTGGTGTGGGAGCTGATTCAGTTCAGGATGCTCACAAGACAGCTAACTGAGAACTTCCACGACAGCTGTTACGTTTGGCATGCTCCGCTCATGCCAGTCGGGTTAGGAATGCCCAGGTGCACACACAAATTTCCCCTACAGTTATCAACGACACTGAGCATTCGCTCATTTTAAGCCATACTTTAACATGCTGAGACAGCATGCTAGTCTGGGACAACCTGCTCTGGTATCACATCGTGCACGGTTGCCTTCAGAAAATGAAGGCAAGAGGATGCGAGGGCATCTTACAGCCTCTCTCTTTCAGAGATGCTCAAGGATGTGAAAGAACATCCTTGTCCTGACTGCACTAAGCACTTCAAATACTCAGGTACAGGTCATACCTCAATAACACGGAAGCTTTTTTCACCAAAAGCATCTGGAATAATTCTCACCTACCCACTTCCTGTAAGACACTTGAGCTTATTTGGCCAGTAGACCACAAAGCTGGGAGGTCAGGTGTAAATATCACATAGCACTTCCCAGGGAGTAACTTTTGCCTTTTGCTTTTTACCTCCTCTAGCACAGAACTGAGGACAATTCCAAAATTCAGGTAGTATCTGACATTTGGGACCTATTAGTAGAGATGCATGAGGGACATGGTTTAGTGGTGGCTGGGCTGGGTTAGGGTAACGGTTGGACTTGATGATCTTAAAGGTCTTTTCCAACCTAGACAATTCTATGATACTATGAGATACAGCTAATAAAAAAGCAATCCTTCCATCAGCTGTGTTTTGGCATGCATGGTTGCATTTCTGACCAGTTCCAACCTTTACTTTTCACCCCATCCAGAAGAAAGCGAGGCTATTCAGTTCAGAGGCAGAGGAGTACGCTCCCTGGAAAAGTCATGACAGGGCATTTATAAGCATGTTTAGAAAACAGATTACTGGCAGGGAAGCCCCAGGTGGACAGAAATACCTCCAGGCAGAAGCTGCTGTTCTGAGTCACTCCCCAATTAACCAACACAAATCAGCAAGATCTCCAGCACGGCAATCAGGCCTGACCTGATCACTGTCAGACCTCCAAAGACATTTTTTTCCCGGTTAGTTAAAATAATAGAGTCAACAGTCTTTAATGCTTCTTAGGTGCTCACCCTCTCCCTCTTTCCCCTTTTTTAACCCCAATTTGCAAAACCAAGCAGCAGGTACAGTCAGCTATTCCCTTCCCCGCTCATTCTGCTCTTCCCTCCTCTTCCACATCATCTGCAAATTGCACCAGGGAAGGATAGGAGCAACCAGCCTTAACATTTCAGTGACACATTTATGAGTCCCAGAGCTGAAAACCAGCTACCAGAATGGAAGCACTAGTGAAAAAGGCTTCAGGCTGGTCTGCTCCCAGTTGTAACCCTGGGCAAGTCAGTCCTGCAGTGTTTCATCCCCTCTGCGGAAGGGAGAGGACAGTATTTCTTACTCTTGGATGGGCTGTGAGGATAACACCAGAGAGTATGCGCAAATTACGGGAAAGCAAATTAAATTCTTCAAAGTAGAGAAGGAAGCGGATGATTCGGGAGAAGAATTTCTTTGTGCGGGGAACTCCAAACTGTCTGCAGCACAGGGCTGTAGAAACAACTTTGCTGGCCTTAGGGTTTTTACCTTCATTTTGGCACCAGTGAATGAAGACCAGCACTAACCCAATGCAGTCAAAAAGCACTTGTCCCACACCTGCTGGGCATCACATTGCTGGTGATGCAGGCGTCATGAGTGGACCTGAACAATTTGATCCAAACTTCCCCCTGTGGTAACAGGGATGACTTTGTCCCTGAAATTGGTCATGAAAGGGGATAGTTTGGGCGCTTCGGTACTGGCTCGAGAGCTGAGCTGAGAGCAACCAGGAAATTCCAGTGCTTTACAGAAGCAGTGCACCTCAGTTCCATTTCTGGCATTTTGGTTTGTCTCCCCCATTGAAATGGCTTTTTTTTCCCCCTCCCTCCTTACTTCTTCCCCCATAGAATATGGCAGTTTATGGCTTTTATAATCTTTAAATCATTCTGCAGAGTTTTATTTCTCTCCGACACCTGTAGCTAGCTTGACTCTCCCCCCCACCCCACCAATGCTACATCTCTAACTTCTCATCATTCTTTATCTTCAAGTCAAATGCCTTAGCTCAGCTTTTCACTTAGGTCAGAGCATTATTCTGAAGCTCAATCCAAAGTCTTGGAATCAGGTGAAAGTGTCTATTGATTTTGGCGGACTTTGGGACCAAGGTTATTGGCTGGTATTTTTGAACACCAGAGCTAGGCTTCTGATGGAGGTCACCTCCCAGAAGGGTCGGCTGGGCACAGGGAGCACTTTCCAGCCTGCCCTTTCCATTTAGAGACAGAAAGGAGATTTTAGCTGGTCCCTACTACTGTTAGGCTACGGGACAAAGGTGGAAAGGTTGAAGAAGGGAACTCCTATTTTTGACTCTTTTTTCTGCCCAGTCTTAGAACAAGTCTTGAAAATAGGTAAGAAAAATATGAAGATATGTAGGAAAAAAGCTGAGTTTCCTGCTTTCCCAGCCTCAGGAGTATATGGGATAGGATTTATTTCATAAGTTTCATCACTCAATTAGATTCTGCTGCTGAAACTTAACATCTATTATCACATGTTTGAGAGACTTCAGTAAAACATACCCAACTTTCAAGGCATGTACTGACTAGAAAACATGCAAGCAGTCTCATAAAAGATTTAATGGGCCTCTTATAGGGACAAGCAGTCGTATACCACAGCACGGTAGAAATGACAAGAAGTCTTATCATATGTATCGGTAACTATCAGCTCTTCAAGACTGTTAAACAGCTTAGCATCTTTCAGAGTAATGAATAAAGCTCATTTTTGGTCTAAGTGCTTTTTTGAATGGGGTCCTAGCCACAGCAAAGCAAGCGCTTCAAAGCAATTGCTTAAAGTTCTGATATACGACCAAGTTTTTGGTTTGGTTCCTTTCCAAGACATTTTACTTGGACTTATATGGAGATAGAATTGCCTATGGATCTCAGATATGGTTCTAGACTAAAGAAGAGTTAAGGTAGCATTCAGTCTCTTACAGAACAAGAAGAGAGAAAGGCAGCCTCCAAAATGAAGAGTCGCTACTTTTTACTCTGCTGTGTTAGTGCTGGGATCTACAGGTCTGGCCAAAACATCCAGTACTATTTTTTGTATCCGCAGTCATGCCCTCTCTTGAATTGCCTCCAGGCAGCCGACTTTCAGAGGGTATTTATATCCTAGTGGGGATTTGCACAAATTCCTCTCTGCCTACGTTCTAAGGGAATTAACAGGATTTAGGTATTTAGTTGCTTAGAAAAAATTTCTTGAGGTGCCTTTCACCATATGTCTAGATAGCATCCCAGATCTCACCATTCACTTCCTACAAGATAAGCAAATCCTATAGTAGAAGTCCTGCACTGAAGAGTGGCCACAGAGATAGAAGTCAGCCTGGCACCCCTCTTTCACAGCCATGGGGGGGGACAACTGCAGAGGAGGACAGTGCTGGAGATGGATGAGAATGGCATAATGAGTAGAAAGAAATGGCTTGCTCCTGAATCTCACATAATTACTGTTTCCACTCCAGGATGCATTCCAGGCGTTCCATATCAATCCCACCTTGGTGCAAAAGTTTCTCAAGCCGTTGCTTATTGGAGAGCTTTCTCCAGGGGAACCTAGCCAGGACCGAGATAAAAACGTGAGTATTTGGTTCTGAGCTGGGGTTTATGATGGGTTCGTTCCACCATTTTTTTCCTCTTGGGATGTCCTCCAGGTCAGAGGAAGGCAGATTATAAAGGTCTCTTCACTACAGACAGCTCCAGAGAGGGAGAAAAGTGCTCAGTGACTGAACATCTCCACGTAGCAATGTGCACATCCCTGTATAAATTGTGTGTGGGAGGGAGGCGACACATTCAGACTGGCTGTACAAGCCTTGCCTTTCCCGTAGAGCCACCAACAGCTGATTTCTAGCAGCCCATTCCAGGTGCCCAATGCTGGACTGATCCCATACTGAAGGGAAATGGGAACTGGGAAATGTGTGCCACTCTTGTCACTGGTGTCCCTTCTGCTATTCCTTCTCTGATGACCAAGCTCCAAAACACATGTCATCGCTTGCCTGTTATGGGGAAAGGAGAGGAGTGGGCAAAGAAGTCTGGAAAGACTTCCAAACACATTGCTCACCACCTCAACAAGACTTGCCTCTCTTTCACTCTTTGCTCTGCAGCTCCCTTTGACAGATTAACTCCCAAAGAAATACCTCTTTGAGACTCCAACTGGCTTATCCTGCTGAGCCCAGTAGCACCAAAGCTCTGGAGAGCAGCCATATTTGTGCCATGCACTGCAGGAGCAGAAGGCACCTATGGGTGAGGTGAACCAGATGCCTCATTTCAGTGGCCGTGCTTAAGGAGCAGCAACCCAGCAAGTACCTTTTCCACTCACTCCGCATCCTCAGGGCAGCTCTGTGTCCCTTCCAGACAGTCCATTCATTCATTATTCAGGCACAGCGCATGGCGTGACGAGCTCTTGCCACGAAACTCAATCCTGTCCCGTTGTTTGTGACTGGCCATGATTATGATATATCCGTATCACACACAATGGAAGAGCCGACGCTAACCCACATTAACCCAGGAATGCTCTTCATGAATGGCTGCACGGTAGCTGACCCACATATTAAATAGACGACGGGTGCTCTGATATTGGGTGCTCATCATCAGAGCTCTGGAATTATGCATAAGTAATAGGACTGAATAATCTCCTTCTCCAGCTGCCTCTTTAATACTTGTAAAGCTCATTCAGACCAGAGTCATCAGCTGATGTAACTCCCAATGGCGCCAGGTAGTGCCCCTGATTCACAGCAGCAGGCTTGAGTTACTCTCCTGGCTCAAAGCACAAAAGGTCAGGATGTGGGCTCAGACCAGCTGGGATGTTTATTCATAGGAAAGTTCTATGAAAAGCTGGAATACAAGGTGAATATGGAGACAGGTCCTTCCTTACTTCTGGAGTAGCCAACCAATGCAAGAAACAGCCAGGGTCCTTCGAATGGGACTTGGCCTTCCTTTCTCAGACATGTTCAGCCTTACTTATAAGCTGCATATGGTGCCTTGCGTGTCTATTTTGCAGTCCCAGCTGGTGGAAGATTTCCGGACCCTGAGGAAGACAGCAGAGGACATGAACTTGTTCAGAGCAAATCCTTTGTTCTTCTCCCTTTACTTGGGCCATATTATTGCAATGGAAGTTTTGGCGTGGTTAATGGTTTCATACTTCGGTACCGGCTGGATCACAACTCTCATCCTTGCCTGCATCCTCACAACTTCCCAGGTGAGTAGGCACAGAGCACACTGGCTAGGCAAATCACTCAGGAGAAGACCAGTATGCTGAACTTCTCATATGAGATTAATGACCAGTGCAAAACATTTACACCGTGAAAAATACTCACAGGATACCTGCCACTGTGGTGCCTTCTGGCCATCCCTACCCACTGCTGACTGTGGCTCACACATTTTTCTCACCTCTTTGGCCTTTCCTTCCACATGTTGGTGGACTTGGTAGCGTCAAGTTTACAGTTGGACTCGATGGTCTTAAGGGTCTTTTCCAACCTGAATGATTCTATATATTCCCCTCCAGAACAAAAACAGAGATCTTCACCTTCTCACTTCAGTGACTCCCCCTCTTCCTCATGCTCACAACTTGCCTTCTATCTCCATTTCCTTGTGTGTTTAACTTTGATTTCAAACACCTTTCTAACTACCTGATTTCCCTTCATTCCAGGCCCAGGCAGGGTGGCTGCAACATGATTTTGGACACCTGTCTGTCTTTAAGAAGTCTTCCTGGAACCACATTGTCCACAAGTTTATCATTGGACACATGAAGGTAAGGGACATGATGGACCCAGGGCACTGTGGCAACTACTGCAGTCACTTTGACTACGTCAAAGTCGGAAACTGCAGCTCTGATCCTTTCTGCAGTGAGTAGATGCGCAGAGGAGAAGTTAGTGACCATTGCACGTGGAGCTGTTGTGCGGAAGAGATAAACCAGCATAACCATAGCTGTTAGAGAACACAGTAGTTCCACAAGCTTCAGTGCAACTGCACCGATTTATAGGAGCTGAGAACAGGGCTTATTAAATCACATAAACCCCTATTTTAACACCATATTTTTGCCATGCCCTCCACCTCCTTCACATTAAGGTATAGTATTTTTCAAGCGTCCCATCCTGCTACATCCCATCCATTCAAGATGTCTTCAGAACTTCTATCGTGGGCAAGGTCCGGTGCAGTCCAGGCATTTCAGCATCCCCCTGCAGTAGGAACTTACAGGGGGTGGATTCAGTCCTTATTCTTCTATCTGCCCAGGGTGCCTCTGCAAACTGGTGGAACCATCGTCACTTCCAACACCATGCCAAGCCCAACATATTCAAGAAGGACCCAGATGTCAACATGCTGCATATTTTTGTCCTCGGAGATACACAGCCTGTTGAGGTAAGGCAAAGTGGGTAAAATGTGGAAAACCATTCTCCTAAAGGGCTTCAGAAAATGCTTGTGCAAAACCAAGAGTTGGCTAGTATTGGTAGACATGTCTTACATGGTCAAGACTTCCAGGAATGCTAAAAAAGGAAATGCTTCATCGAGGGATTTCATCTATGTTGTCTGACATGAGTTTGGCCATCACACCCTCCCAAACCTTGGGCTGAAGAGCAAGATTGACCGTATAATTCCCTACTCATTTCCTGTACTGACTATGGGAAAAAGTGGCTTGGGGTAGCTTGGGAAAAGCAATCATGATAGGACCAGAAAGAAAGTAGAAAGTCATTAAAGAAAACTTCATCCTGCTGGCTTGAAATATCAACATGAGGGGAAAATACAGTGTTCCTCAGTACTTCATCAAGAACATTTCAAAACTGATCTTCTATTTCCACAGAAAATATCTGCCAATATTAGTCCAGCTGTGCTCCAGACAACCTGTACAAGGTCCTCACCACTGGAGCCTTTCCCCTGCAGTTAAGGGGATATTGCTTCCATAAGCAATCCTTCCTTACATTTACTACTTACTGTTATGCTGCACATGAAATAACAACCTGTGTGGAGGTATTTTAATTCAATCTTTCCCTCTAGAGCCAAAATATTTACTGTCTGTTGTATAAAAACCTACACAAAGGACATAAACCATCCCATCCTTGGTCTTTTTTGCAATGGAACAAGGATTTCTAGTTTTAAAAACAAAACCCAAAGAAAACAAACAGAGGAACATCTGCAGCAAGCACAACACAGGGGAATACAACATTAAAAAGGTAATGGTTTCTCAGCCAGCTTTTGTACTACCGAGAAAGTAAATCCCAAAACATGTAGGGGCCATATGGTATATGGACATGTATAAAGAATGTCTCGCACACATGGAATTTTCAAGAGGCAGAAGGGCTCTTACAGATGGCTAAACTGAAAGCCAGTATCCAGAAGGTGTAAATCAGTATCATGCTCTTAAATGTCTGGGTACCACTCATTGGAAAATCTTGTGCCTGATAACTGGGGGTAAAAGCAGACCATGGTTCTACCACTTAAAGGGAAAAGTAAGAATGTAAACGTTTATGACAACAAGGAAAACTATATCTCTGTCCTACAGAATATCTGAAATGTTAGGCCAGCATCAGTCTATCCCAATTCTTTTTCACACTTACATATAATCCATTTCCAGATGATGCTAAGCACACAGCCCCTCAGAGCTCAGACCAGAGTGAATGATGTGGCTGATTTATTGGCGCTACAAGACTTACCTTCATTGGGAAGTTGCTATGCTAGAAGCAAAAAATACACGTTCACGGTAGTCCAGGTTCTCCATGCATTAGCTCCTTGTGCAGACGCTCCTGGAGCTCAAAAAAGACACTTTTGTATAGCACTAGAGATTTCACTAAGGACATGAGGTTAGGAGACCAGGTGCTCTTGGCTCCCTCTTTTCACTGAAAAGAAACGGGCACCTGCAAAAATGCCACAACCCAAGGTCTGAACCTGTTTGGAGAAACTTCTCCGCAGCTGCTCTTTGTAGGCGGCCCATGGTAACACAGGAGTCGCTACAGAACAGCTCTCAATGACAGCTCCCTGTTTCCTATCACTGACATGATAAACTAGCAACATGATCGATTTAAGCATGTCTGTGTGACTTGCTGTAGTACCAGCTAAGGACCACGCTAGTTTTCTCACTGTTGGTAAAGTAAACTTTTACAAAGCCTGGCTAATGGCTGGAATTCATGGGGGCTGATGGCTGCAGAGGTCAAAAAGAGTCAATGGCTGGGACATTTTGCATGGAAGACTACCCAAAGATCATTGTCTTGCACTGGCATCCTGTGTAGTGACTTACCAAAGGCGAGACTTTATGCCTATCACATTTGTATTGGTAATGATGGAGATGATAGAGGCTCTTAGCACAGCCACAGGCATGGCAGAAAGTGGAGAAATGCATTAAAATGCCACCAGGCTCTCAAGTCAAAAGACATTATCTGAATATCAAGCCAGAAGACTTTAAAAAGGAATTTACACCCAGCACAATTGCAAAGTCGAGGTATTTAACCATACCAAAACACTTTTTACCTTCACTGTGTGGGGATTTAGTCAAAACTCCCCTGTCAATAAATAAAGAAGTATTGCAGAGAAACTTCTCTTACCTGTGAGTGTCAGAATCCAAGCCTGAGCTTTCTCCTCTGTGTCCTGCAGTATGGCAAGAAGAAGCTGAAGTACCTGCCTTACAACCACCAGCACGAGTACTTCTTCCTCAGTGAGTATCTTCCTTTTTCCCTAAATACCAGTTGACCTTTCCAGTCCCTACTGTGTTAGCAGAGCAACTCCTTAAGCCTCAACTCAGCCTTCCCTTCCTCAGGACCGCCCATCCCCTGTGCGGGTCCCCAAATCAGTTCAGTGTATTCTCAATGATATCCAAAGCTTCTCAAACATTGCCAGCACGGTCGTGTAAAGCAAGGCAAACAGCTGAGACTGGGAAACAGCTTCTGTGTGAGGTTAAAAATGCATGTTGCCAGCCAGTGCTCTTTGATAAGCCAAGATTAATGGGTGTGAAGCAGAGCGTCCTTTCCTCACAGAAAGGCAATCACCCCTTATCACCAGCACCTCACCTCTCTCACCGGGCTTTCCCTAGAACCAGTCCTAAATCACTGGCTCGCTCTCATCTCGCATGCCTCTCCCCCCCTCTGATGGCCAAAACATTTCCCTTTGCTTTGCAGTCTTCCCGCCTCTGCTCATCCCTGTGTATTTCCAAATCCAAATCATCTCGACCATGATCAGGCGCAGGTTCTGGGCGGTGAGTGAAACATTCCCTCGATCTTTATGGGATCCAGCTGGCTCGTAAGAAATCACGCTTGAGTAAGGAGGGAGGACAGTGGGCAGGGATCGCACTGTGCTGTGTTAATTACCCAGTGTCCCTAACATCACCAGCAAGGACACATGATATGAGATAGGCAAAGAGATGCCTAATGTATTCTCTCTTCCCCTAGGACCTAGCCTGGGCCATCAGCTACTACATGCGCTACTTCATCACATACATCCCATTCTATGGCGTTCTGGGATCCCTGTCTCTCCTCACTTTTGTCAGGTAGGAGATAAAGGGTCTCCCTGCTGCTCTCCCCTCCCTCCAGTGCCAGACGAACCAAGTCTCAGCTCTGCTGTGCCCCACAGGCCTTCCCTATTTAGGTTCTCTGCAGTCATTGACCTGACTGTGTGTTGTCTTGGATATTACCACTGCTTTACTTACCTCCCATCATCTCCCAGTTCTACCTCCTCTCAGCAGAGATGGTTCTGGTGCTCAGCATCCTCCTCTGCCCTTGTGATGGTCCCACCAGGATTGTCCTTTCTTTCCGTGCTTCCAGTTCTTACGCACTGCCCAATCCCAATGTATTTATGCATTTTTTCCGCTTTGGTCAAGGCTGGACCCTTCCAGAGTCCCTCAGGCCACCCTCTTCCCAGCTTACTGGGAAGGCAATTCATGAGCCCTCCTGAGCACTGGACATGCTTCCCCCATAAGTGAAATGTTCACCACATCTCTCAGCGTGGAAGATGCATGGCCTCTACACTACATGCACGGATCATTCCTTCTGCACAGAGGTTGGGATCTCAGAAAGCTGTTTCACACCACGAATCAAAGTGTTGCTACCTCTATCCTCCCATCTGACCCCTCCAAAGCACCTCCTTCAGTCTGTGGAGAAATGCTTCTTGTGTCTCTTGTTCTTGACTGGTCTTCTGGCCCCTTACCATTACCAGGCTTCGTGATTTGCTGCTCTTCATACAAAACCAGTATTAGTCAGTCAACTGCCGCTTGACTGATGCATGGAGAGTTCAGTGAGAGACCTAAAAACATGGACCACAAGCATGAGCTGCCAAAATGAATGGGGCAGGGCAGGGCTTGGGATGCTTACACCCTGAGTGGTTACAGTATTGCAGATGGCAGCACCAAATTCATGCTTTCTATCAGGAATTTCTATTCACGCTAGAAATTCATTAATTTCTATCCTGTGTGCAATAGCTGCAACTTATCTGCCTAATACCAAAGGGTGGCATTTAGTCCCACAGTCAGCATTAATTTTAGGAAAATATTTAATCACAGTGAAAAATGTTTTCTAAAAAAAAAAAAAAATAATCATTTTTCTAGTAAAAAGAAATGGCAATAGATGTACAAAAACCTTCACGGCTTAAGTTTCCATAGTTTCAAAACACTTTGGACCTACAGGAAACAGGAGATTCAAAAGACATACATCTGTATAAGTGCCTCACCAACCTTTTTGGTCTGAAATCAAGCAGAAAAACTTCTGATAAGTGACCTATTGTTTCCAAAACTTTCGTATTTTCATTAAGCTAAAAGTGCAAGAAGAAAGGCAAAATTGCAAATTCAGATCATCTGCTCTTTCAGCAAACTAAAGCCTAGAACAAGGATGCTTCTGGGCAGCTACCTTGTCAACATACATCTAGGTCTCAGCCCAGAGAAGCTACTTTGGGTAAATAAATAGAAGAAAGTGCATTTCTGTAGCCAATTGTAGAGGCGCTAAGCCCGCGGTTGTATACCATAAGCAATAAAACAGCCGCTCCAAAGCAATACGCAGCCCAGCACAGAGTTGCGACTTAGGGTAACGGTACCGAGAGAGCAAAGGGAAGCAGGGATCTCCCGAGTGCTAAGCTCGACACCCAGAAGCTAACACCCATGGGCAGGTGGATTTTGAAGTTAACCTGTACCCAGCAAGCAATGGGAAAAGTGAAAACACTTCTGAGAGTTTCTAAATCAGGGTGCTTTTTTTCTTTTTTTAGGGAGTTGGATCACGTTTATTTACCGAAAGGCATGAGACGTCAATCCACTCCTTAGGGCAAGGGATAGCCCAGTAGGGTGTCCTCCTTGTATTTAATCGTAATTGCCTTAGTCCCAGAGGTTTAAAGAGGGGAAGGGAAATCCACCACAGAAGTGATTCTTTCCAGTTTCCATAGAAAGAGAGGTGTTTAATTCCATACCTTGGAGAAATCCTCTCTTTGCATGTTGCGTCTCCTGCTGCTCCCTGTAATCTCCACTCCATTTACTGTAATATAAATTGTCACAGTTTTTGTCTCTCTGTTTTGAAGGTTTCTGGAGAGCCACTGGTTTGTGTGGGTCACCCAGATGAATCACATTCCAATGGAAATTGATTGTGAGAAGCACAGAGACTGGCTAAGCTCTCAGGTAACTGGGAGGGGAGAGAATACTCCTGACCTACCCCCCAGGGCTGAGTTGAGAGGAGAAATCAGCTCAGGTGTTAATTAGTATAACTAGTATTTGTAGCTGTTAATGGGGTCTTGAAGGTGAGCTTTCAAAGTCTGACAGACAATTTCTCTCCCTTGTGCTAAAAACACTTTAAAAAAAGCACCAAAAGTCCTATTCAGGAAAGCACCTAAGCAGAGAATCAGAATGTTTTGGGTTGCAAGGGATCCCTAGAGGTCATCTAGTCCAACCCCCCTGCAGTCAGCAGGGACACCCTTAACTCGATCAGGTTGCTCAGAGCCCTGTCCAACCTGGTCTTGAATGTTTCCAGGGATGGGGCCTCCACTGCCTCTCTGGGCAACCCGTTCCAGTGTTTTACCACCCTCATTGTAGAGAATTTCTTCCTTATATCTAGTCTAAACCTACCCTGGTTTAGTTTAAAACCATCACCCCTTGTCTTGTCACTGCTGGCCCTACTAAAAAGACTTTCCCCATCTTTCCTATAGGCCCACTTTAGGTACTGAAAGGCCGCAATCAGGTCTCCCCGCAGCCTTCTCTCCTCCAGGCTGAACAAGCCCAACTCTCTCAGCCTGTCCTCATAGGAGAGGTGCTCCAGCCCTCGGATCAGTTTAGTAGCCCTCCTCTGGACCCACTCCAACAGTTCCATGTCCTTCTTGTGCTGAGGACTCTTTGTTTTGTGAACAGATTTGCTGAAGTCATGGGAGTGCTCAGGTGCTCACCTTAAGCTTTTGCTTAAGCACTTTCTGCAACTGGAATTTGTAGTCAGAGGTTGTGAGAGCGAGAGATTTGGGGAGGGGGGTTATAAGAGAGAGGAGGAAAATGTGCGTAGGATAGAGGGAGATCGGCTCTTTGATGCCAATGTGGTTTTACTGCGATCTTGGGGAAACGAGGAGCATGTGTCCCCTATGCTTACTATGTAGAAATCACAGCTTAGCCAGTTCAGGGCGCCAGAGGATTTTAAGAAGGACTGCCTAATTTTACTATTTCCAATTAATAGCAAAAGTAGCTAAGAAATATTTCCAGAATATTCAGATCTTGCACTTCAGGCAAACTGGGCAATAGCTAGATGGGATGGGGAAAGCAGGTTTTCTGTGTCCATATGTTTTTCGTCCCCCGTTTTCTACCTTGGTGCTGTTGTTAGCCATCTGATCTTCAAGGGGAAAGGCTGAGATTTAGGAGTCCAGATGTCCACACACTACTTCCTTGTATCGTCCCCTTTACCACTGGTCAAACCTGTGGTGATAACGGTTGACAGTAAGCCCTGAAGGAGGATTAAAACTCCCCTTGCTGCAACCAGCCATTGCAGCATGGCTGTCTTCTGCACTCTGACAGCCCGGCAGCGCAGTAAGACACGGAGCAGCCCCTGCCACAGGCAAAGAGGAGCTTCATGCTGGTTTTAGGGTCAGGCTTCAGTAATCTTCACAGCTGCCTTCTTGCCTTCACAGGTGGCAGCCACTTGCAATATTGAGCAGTCCTTTTTCAACGACTGGTTCACCGGGCACCTGAATTTTCAAATCGAACACCAGTGAGTATGGGCACAAAATCGCTTGGCCATTACTGGGTTGTCACAGCACTGAACCTGAGGCGAGAGAAAGTCTGCTAAAGGCACATGTGTGGGATGGGGTAGCATCTTTGGAGCACTACCATATGCCAAGGAAAGAGAGTCCTAGACTATGGGGGTCATAGTCTGCTTTACTACAGCCATTGCATCTTTCTCTCTTGCTACCAAATACTTCAGCTTTCACTCTCACCATTTCAGTTTGGAGTTTAATTAGGAGTCAGTGGTACGCATCTGCCAGTTACAATGGCTATGGACTGGTATCCTAAGGTAACTACTTCAACTTGAGTATCCATTTCAGAAATGTCTTCTCCCTGACTAAAAGCACTTCAGTGTTTTATAGCGTGGGACTAGGTATGCTGCTGAGTCCCAGATTCCAGGGAAGATATTAAAAGCAGGGCCATATGGACGATCTGTTGCCAGTGACAACACAAAATGTAAAAGAGACGGCATTTAGGGTAAGGCTGACTAGCTTGGAAGTCAGCTTAGGCAATATCCATTGAACAGCACAGCGCAAGGGGATCCTGAGTTCTCCCTTAACTGCTTCTCTGTTCCACGGGCTTCCAGAGGTGGGAAATCAGTGTGTTCAGTTTTCACAAGCCTCCTTGGAACAGAGGGCGGTAAAGCATGGATACCCCTCTGTGCCTCTCTTTCTTTTGTCTGCTTGCACAGCTTGAGGAGAAGGCATTAATAATTAGCCCCAGTGAGGAGGAAGGCAGAGATGCCCATCCCTTGGGGTTAGTCTCCAGAGTTTTCTCAGGTTTGTTTTCTCTTTCTGTATTCAAGCCTGTTTCCAACAATGCCACGGCACAATTTCTGGAAGGTGAAACCTTTGGTGAAGTCATTATGTGCCAAGTATGGAGTCCAATATGAAGAGAAGCCTCTTGGAAAAGCATTTGTAGACATCGTTGGGTAAGGTCCTTCTAGCACCATCTGCAGCTTGCAATTCATCAGTACATGAACATCCCATGTTTTCTAGTACAGAGTATCCAGGACACTATAGACCCTTCAGAAATACCATGTTGATATGTTATAATCTGGTGTCGCAAGGTTAACAATCTTCATATCGCAGTCCAAGGAGCACCTGCAGCAGTCTTGACCCAACAGCAGAAATGATACCACTCCACTGATGTAGTGGATGAATGCCAGGTGACAAGAGATGGGAAGCTGCTTCTCCACATCATGGGGGAAGAAGCAACTGTCCCCAAGAGCAGCTTCTGCAGCCAGAGCACTGCTATCAAAGTACCGGACACTTAGCAATTAGATGGGAACTAACCTGGTCTAACAGCAACCTTTTTTATAATACCTTTTTAAATGCTATTCTGACAGCTGATGATTCTTGCTTTTGGGAGCTGGCAGTGTTATCTTCAGGCTGCAAACTGAGATGAATCAAAGGGGAATGAGTCAGGTTACAGCCCACGCTGTTCCCCATTTTAGCCCTGCCAGCAGCAAAGGGCTATCCCCTATAGGCGTAGTTGCAAACCAGTCTAATAGCCCTCATCAGGCAGATTCCGTGTTAATGTTTCTGTCTCAGTTACACCAAGGGGAATAATTCATGACAGGGAACATGAGAAAGTATTCTGCAGTCCAGGCATCTCCACTCTCAAACCATTCTAAGTAGATGCAAATTAAAGCCATCATCCCCACCATGCAGAAGGGCTGAAAACTGGTTCAAAAGCTACCTTAGTCCTCTCATCCAGCTAGCACAGGCAAGTGCATACAACACTGAGACCCAGTGGGGTGATGCGCCGCATCCCACCGCACAGCACCCACATCCCTATATGAGTTCTCAGAAACCATCTCAGCAGTTACCTGCCCTCCCAGTAGAAGGATCGTCTCCCATAAATCATATAGAATCATAGAATCATTTGGTTCGAACAGACCTTTAAGATCATTGAGTCCAACCATACCTGTCCACCGCTAAACCCTGGCCCTAAGCACCTCATCTGCCCATCTTTTAAATACCTCCAGGGATGGGGACTCAACCACTTCCCTGGGCAGCCCCTTCCAGTGCCTGATAACCCTTTCAGTGCAGAAATTTTTCTTAATGTCCAATCCAAACCTGCCCTGGCACAACTTGGGACCATTTAAAGCTACATTTCCAGTCTCCAGACTGCATTCTGTTTTTCGGAGGACTTTTGGGCCCAAACCAGCTCAGATCTGTCATGCAATATTTGCAGAGCTGATGCAGATGGGAAATTCTGTGAGAATTCCTGGGGGGAAGTGGGGAAACTCCTTCAGAGGTGCAACATGCCGAGCCCAGGCAGTTCTCCTCTGCTGTTTATTCAGGGCCAGAGGGACTACAGTGGGCGTCAGGTGAAGTTCTTGCTCACTGAGTCTCAAGCTGGTCACTTTGGGGGTCTAAAGAGTGAAATACGTAGCTCTTCTTGCTGTATCTGCTATACTGGGGAATGACATTCGGTGTCCTAAGGATTCATGTTCAAATTCAGTAACAGGCGTTTTGTAGGAACAAAACAACAGCGGGAAGATTCACGGGACAAACAAACCTCTCTTAATTTTCTTTCCACAGGTCCCTAAAGAAATCCGGAGAACTGTGGCTGGATGCTTACCTCCATAAGTGAACATGAATCTGAACAGGGAGGTGTGAGTGGCCGGGAGGGATGGGGGGGTGCGTGGGGGGGAATCACGCGTGTGTCTCTTACTCTCAGATTTCCGTCTATGTCTACGTGCACAGTTGGAGGGGAGTTTCCCGTCTTGTGAACTGCTATGGACTTGGGCAACCTGTTTAATCCGGACAGATTTAAACTGGGCTTCAGAGGCTGAAAAGCAATGCTGGCACCACACAAAACGGAAGGTTGGGAGAAGAAGGAGAGGAGTGTTTAAAAAAGGGGCATCAATATCCAACCTTGACCTTCTCTTCACAAGATTCGTTCTAGTTCTGCCTAGGCCACACAAGCCCCCAATTCACAGACACGTGCGCTTTGTTAGGCTTCAGTGAGCATTTACAATCCAAGGACACCCCAGTCAGCTTATGCCTCTTTCCCATGTTTATGTAAAAACAAGGAGCTCAGCACAGGGTTTCATATTGTTATCAAGGAAAAACTAATGTGGTGGGCTGGTGACGCCCACCACAGCAGGGAGCTTGGGTGGGCTGTGATGCCGTCAGCCCTGCCTGCAGGAATCGCACCCCACAGGGACCGGCAGCTGCTGTATCCTGACGGGGCTTTCGGCCCTGCCCAGAGCCCAGCAGCCTCGGGCTCCCTCCTTTCTCTCCCTCCTCTCTTTCTCTAATCATAGCATCACTTTAGTAAAAGCTGTGATACCGACCCTGCACAACTAATGTCTAACCGCCTCTCAGCAGGGTTAATATAGCTGTATTTTTATGACCAGCCCCTATTTCCAGGTGTCCATGGAAGATCTTTGGGCTTAAACAGCAAAATATCTCCTTTAGGAGTGGGTCTGTTTTCTCTCAATAAGCAACAGGTCTGGCATAGCATTATGGTTGTCAGTAGATTACACAAAAGACCAAAATAAGTCATAGAATCATAGAATCAGTTAGGTTGGAAAAGAGTCTGCAGATCATCAAACCCAACCGTTACCCTAACCGTGCCATCCCACAGAAGCAAAGTGTACTAATGGCTCGTGAGCACTCCCGTGTAACCACAAGTGGTCTTTTTGGGAGAGTAGTTCAGCAATGTGCCAGGAAAAGACATGCCTGTCTGCACATGCCTGGCAGAAACCAGGCCTCCTTTTGCTTGTCAGAGGCCAGGAGCAATGGTGCTGTTTATCCTTCTCTTGGGAAACATTAGAAAAGAAAATGAATTCTCCCTGCAAAAGGAGAAGCTGCCCAACCATTTGACCTGGCTCCCAGGTCCTTCAGGGAGAGGCAGCTGAAAACAGAATTGACCAGGCTGTGCTGGTGATAAGAAACCTTCTGCAGAACCCTCTTACAAGTTGTCTAAAACTCTATTTTCTGCCCAACACCCAATTACCAAAATCTCTGAACTGCTTACCAAGAAGATATGGTTGAACATCTTCCAGGCGCTTCTCTAACAGCCAACCTGACCCCAAATAATTCAAGGGCTTTAGGTTTAGCTGTAATTCAACAGGAGAGACACACCCTTTAGTTTTTGATAAAAGGCCGTGGTTTCAAAAGCAGTCTCCCGTTCCAACAGCTGTCTCGTTGCTCACCCAAAACACCCACAAGGGATACTCAAGTTATTAGGCAATGACTTCGCACGCCTCGTTAGTGTGCTCGGCTCTGAAACTGGATCCTCTCTATTAAATCCATGAATGCCAGCAGAGTCCCACAAAATCAGCAAGGACAACTCCAGGACTGTGGCCTGCCACTTAAACCCCGCCCCCCATGTATTCCCACCCCACTCTTTGAAGAATAAGATGAGATTATTTCTTTGCTTACAGACGGGAAATTCATAGGCAGGACTGCAACTGTATCTAGCTAATAACACTTGAGGTTTGTACATGGCTTATTTTGGGGTTCTTGCCCACCCCTAAGCTAGCAATACCTGAGCAGCACTACGAATGTTTAGGATGACAAGCTACTGTCTCTGGGGTGTCTGAAGCTCAAACAGACTTTGAGCAAATTTTATAGTTGACTTCTAATAGCATAAACAATAACGTCCTTCTGGATGCTGTAATTTCCCAGACAGGTAGCAATGAGCTAGCCTGGAATTGTGGCTAACGTCATTAAGACTGCCTTAATATGCGCATCTCTTTCTGACTCTGTGAATGTATCTCACTGTCTCTGCTCCAACAAGGATGACCACAAGCACACAGTAGCACCAGCAGCGCAATCTTTTAAACATTCAGCTTATTTTTCTGACAGTTCATATTTTTTTACCCCTCCAGTTCTTGTTTCCAGAGCAAATATTTTCTCAATACAGATGCCTCTTCCTCCTTAGTGCTGTACCCTCTTCTCTCTCTTACCTTTCATCTTGGGAAAGTGTTGCCTTTTAAGACCTAGAGAAACTGCAGAGAGCTGGTAGCTCAGCCTAGGTAAACAGTCCTGCTCTAGCAGCTTGGCTTTCCTGCTTGCCACTCACCAGTCTATGGGAAGGCCTATTTTTTCCGCTAAAAACCCAAAGTATCACCAACACAACAGCCTGGCCTAACAGGATACAGCAGCTACTACCAATGATGGCTGAAAGAACTTGAAACGTTCGAGGAGAGCAACCATGCTGCAATGATCTGCAGGAGGAAAGACCAGCTCTTAGGCAAATGGGCAATTATTTTTTTCCCGAAGACCTTAGCACATGACACCAAAGGGAAGAAAGGGGGGGACAGGGGAGGTCTTGATATTAACTCTTCCCCAGCTACTTGCCTCTTTCAGACTCTTGAAAAATTCCCTTTTTATGAAAAATGTTCAGTTGCTCAAATCCAGAAATAAAAACTGTGCAATGTTACGGTCAGAACTGATTGCCAAGTGTCATGCATTGCCCTTGCTCTTGCAAGAGAAAAAGGTCCGTTCCGTGCAGAACAGGTCACTGACCCTTTGTAACAAGCCGTGTATTTTTCTTATTCATTGAACTTACACGTGCAAAAAGTTTGTCTGCTGAAAATGTAAGATGCTGGTTACTTTTTCAGGCAAAGCCTCTCTGGCTCATATAGTTTCTTCCCCTCCCTCCAAAAAATCCCAGCCCTCTATCCTGGAATTCCAGCCTGTCTGTATGTGCCTTGATGTGTAAGTTCTCCATCCTTTAACCGGAGCAAGTCAAACAGATCCCTGACAAAGAGCCCGGGAAGTCTGGAGCAATCTGCATTGTTATAATGTTAAGTAGCACCAAAGCATAATCAGGTTTACAGGAGATGTTCCAGAAGTTTCAGTAAAACTGCAAACTTAGGTGGATATAAAGCTTGCATGACCTTGCTTGGCTTTGTCTCCAACCTGGGCAAAATGCAGCCATCAGTCACAGATGAGCGTCCCTTCGCCGGTTGCAATTAACCATCAAAATGGTTCAAACACAGACATTTAAGTACAGTTTCGCCCAGCTTTCTGAGGACCATAACTAACTGGTTTCTCTGAAAATAATGAGGTGAAATCTTCTACGCTTTCTCTTTTGATAGAAGTCATTCAGTTGCGCTGTAATGAGACACAAACACACACAAACACACAAAAAAAAATCTGTAAAACATTCTGGGAGCCTGCCAGGGTTTATTTAACCCAGCTAAACAACATCACTGGCTACAGGAGCACTTGGCAATGGAGAGAGGCCACGAGTTGGAAACGTGGAGTTTGTTTCAGGGCAGATAATAAAATAATAGGGAGGAAAGGACTGGCTTGGCTTCTCTTCAGTCGCTTGTTAGCAGGGACTGGAGCAGGAATTGGAGGACCAGGATGGTCAAAGGCAGTCTGAAGCATTAACTGAAGCAAGTGCAGCAAAGGCAAGAGAAGCCTCTGGACCGGAGAGAGATGGGCATGTGTTTGGGGAGAAGTACAGAGATGGCAGAAATATGGGAAGGGAACCGGCTGGGGAGGGATGCACAACAGACTGGAAGGGAAAAATAGCAAGGGGGTGGAGAGAGAAGAAAAAGCAACTGGAAATCAGGCATCCCATATTCTCCCATTCATCGCTAGTATCTGCCTGGACAACAGCTTATGCTGGAGACGGGAGGAGAGAAAGGGCAGAGCACAGGCTCAAAGGAGATGGCAGAGGCTGGCAACATCACGAGACATCTCGTGGTGAGCTGGATCTTGCACTGAGCTCACCCTTCCCCAGCTCCAAGAGCGGGGACAGTACAGGGGTAACACAGACAGCGCCCTTCAGTGGTGCCTTTCGGTCCCCTGCAAAGCACGTGCTTCTGCACACTGGCCAGATGAGGTTCAAGCCATAGCCTAGACCTTCAGCAACAAAAATTAACTCCACTGAAGGCCGTGGGTCTGTGCCAGCTTTGTGAACAAATGTGAAATCTAGCCCCATGTTTCCAGGCCGAGGCACAATAGCAATTAGGGGATTTAAACACTGATATTTTTTCCTTTAAGCACAGATCTGAGGGGTCTAAGATCCCAACTGCTTACTGAAACAGGGCTTGGGAGGCTCAGCACCCCAGCAAGAGCCTCAGTCAGGACATATCTCCAGGCACCATTGCTCCCTGTGATGGGCTGATCACACTGGCTGGATTTTCAAAGACGTCCTTTTCTTTCTGTAACAAGCTGCCATGTCCTAGCCATGGCCTCTTCTAAGTAGATTGCTTTCCTAAGAAAGCCTTGCTAACAGAAAACATTACAAATGTTTTCTAGGCGTTGTTAAAACATCAAAACCACATTCCTTACACAACAGCTCCTGATTATTTCATTCTTAAAAAAAAAATAAAAAAAATCACTAACTCAGAAATAACATTTTTTTTCTGGTGTATTCTACTGCTCAATAAAATCATAACTATTTGTTGATCATAAAATGCCTTATGTGGTTTTTTTTTCAGTCACATCCAGAGTCCCTGCAGTGCTCAAAGAATCTGCTGCCTCTTGGAGCACATTCTGCACTACAAATCCACTAGCAGGTAGCACAGAGAAGCCAATTAAGCCACCTAGGACATTCCTAGGGTGTGAATGCCACCATCCAGGTCTGGCACTGAGATCAAGAACATACGTTCCAACTCAGAA